TCATGGAACCTGGACAGTTCTTGGCCCTGGCCTTTCTTTATCAATTTACGTCAAGCAGCTATAAGCAGTAGCAAGTTACATTACATCTCGGTAATCTTCTCGTTGCCATTACGCTCTCAAGGCATTAGATGAGAATTTAGTGAGTGAATGGCATGTGGATTATAATATATCCATGTGCGATCTCTTAAGATTTAAACTGTACAGAATCACCTCATCGGTCCTTGGATAAAATCAGTGGTCACAGTTCCCTATCTTATCAACAAGGGCACATATTGCCTGACGGCTGTTCCATTATGTCAAATTCATTGCTCTTATTACCAGTATACAACGCAGCGACATTTGGATTGTGTCTGAACGTACAGGACGCAAGTCAGTCTACGTCGCACTACATACTTACCTTCTTTGAGAAAGCACAATGGAATAATGTCGGAATTTTGCCTGGTAATCAAGTGAGCACGATGTGCCACGAGAGCACCGATGAGTCATACGTTCGCCAACTGCACAGTAACAAAACAAGGCTTGGTTCAGTTTGTCCTTTATCATAAATGCTAAGAATGTCAGGAGAATCCAATCTGCTTAATTTCTACAGCAACTAAGTATTCTGGTGCTTCCTTTCGGCAAAGGGGTTTTGTTCAGCGCCCTGATACAGAGCAGGTGTGATAAAATTTAGCGGCTGCGTCATAACCCCGTTGGACCCACTTCTGCGGCTTAGGTTAATCCGTGTGTCCATCAATCCGTTACACTGTCTTTGTACTCCCCCTATAATTTTGTAGCTTTGTCAGAAGACATACCAAACCGTACAGAGCTGCTGAGTTCTAGCTCAGAAAGTAGTAATATTATTTCTTCGGATGTCAACCACTTATTGCTGATACGATCGTAGATGAAATATCAGAGGCAGTGTAAAAGTGGTTCTGGCCATAGGATTGATAACGTTATTCACAAGCCCCTCCACGTCGGACTGTGAACCTTTAGAATAACGCAAAGGAGAAGTTTTTGGGATAAAACCAGATGAATCTCGGATCAGTCTTGCTATACAGAAAGGTACACATATTCTCATTTTTGATATTAAAATAAAGATAACTGATTGAGATGTGGGGTATGCAGAAAGAAAAACTTATTTTTCACTTTAAAACTGATTTTTCATTTTACACCAATTGCACTACTGCAGCGCCCCCTTGCCTCTAGTTGCCTAGGGGTCTTTTAAGCAGGCCATGCACCATGGTACTTAAGCGCTTGCAGCGCATAGGACGCAAAACCGCGCTTCCTAACTGGGTTGAAGAAAAGCATGTTCGCCATGATCTGAGGGCGAAAACAAATCGAAAATATAACCCGGAAGTTCTGGGGTAGACTCGACGAGTGGGATCATTCAATACCGCCGTTAAATATATGACATTAAAATCAGATATCGTTGTGAAACGGCGAAAATGCAGAGTGTAAAGAAAGAAAAGTCCATTTCTACTGTACACCAACAGCGTCCTTGCTTCTAGTAGCCATTTAGGGTCTTTAACGCGATTGTTTTTGTGAGAAGCCTGGACAAACGTAAAATGATGACTACACCACAAGAGTGGATTGATGATGCCAATATGCGTGGTGAAGAGGTTCACTTAGTCTTACGGTAGAATGAGAGTGCAGAAATCAGGGGCGCTAATTAGAGGATAAATAATGACCAGACTGGAAGGCAAAGTTCAGAGCCTAGGGAAAAGGGGGGGTTGAGATTATTGGATTTTAGGCTCACAGTCGAAAGTTTGTGCATTGGAACTCCGGTCAGGCAACTGATGTTTCATTTTTCCTCTGCAGACAAAGGAGTACAGTTTCATGGAAGTTTTACTGAATGCTACACGATATAAAACCAGTTAGATGCACAAATAGCATTCAAAGAAACCCTCGGGTAGTTTTTACTGATGACACAACGACAGAAACGAGCAACGCATCATCAGCCCAATAGTAGAACGGCTTCACGCATGGCACTCAATCATGGAGGTATCAGAGACACTAACATTGAAAGAGCTATCAACTTTCTTTGTTATTTTAGATTTAAAACATGCTATCTCTGGAGTGGAGGCTAGCTGTTGGTTTATTGCTTTGGTGACGAATGCAAACTTTTGGAATTAAAAATAAAAGAAATTATAAGTATCCGACCGCTCTCCATTAATACTGATGCGTAATTTAGCAACATTCATGCATATCTTAATTTTTGGAGCTTATACCTGTTTC